AACTTTTTGGCTAAGGCTCAAGTAGCAGCTGCCACGGAATCCGAGGCCACAAAACTCGCGGCCGAAGCCGCAGTGGCATTAACAAACGCAGAAGTCGCCGTGAACCAAGCTAGGAATGCACAGGCAACCGCCTCGACTCAAGCTTCCGCGGCTGTTAGGGTAGATTCTCAAGCAGCGAATGCTGAAGCAGCCGCTGTAGCACAAGCCGAAACTCTCTTGGTTACAGCAGAAGCTGTCGCAGCTGCGGAGGCTGAGGCTGCGAGCAAAGCCGCCTCACTAGCAAAAAAGATCGTCGATGAGAAAAAGATACGTGTAGAAAAGTTGGAATAAAGAGGAGATAGAGAATGATGGATAGATTAAGTTGAAGCAGAGTTGGCAGAATAAGAGGCGGAAGATCGTTGTCAAAAAGGCAAATGCAATTACCTTGATAATTTGATTTAAACACGATGATTATTGACGGATATTATATGAAGAAAGATAATTAACATAGTTGAGATTCATTCGTGTAATATTTTAGTGGAAATAAATTGTCATAGCAACCGAATTTTGATGAATGTTTTTCTAATACTCCTCCTATATTTTTATCCTTTTTTATTTGTTCCATATTGAAATGAATATATAGTCATTAAATTCTTTATCTTTTAATTGTATTATATGAAAGAAATTAATAAAATAATTTATTTGAAAGAAATTAATAAATATGATGAAAGAGCTTAACGAAATTCTATATAGAATATAGAATAAATTTAATCTTATAAGAAAAATTTGAACGACAATTATATTATATTTTATATATTAGTTATTAGTTGTATAAAGGCAATTATATTTTAATTTGCTTTATTGGAAAAATTTTTTTGTTTACATTCTCAAATTTTAATAGATATCAAATTTATAATAGATGTATTTATTCTTTTCCGTGTTGTCAAATATATTTATTTTTAGACAAAATTAAATGAATATGTATTAAAATATGTTTAATCTTGCATTTTTTGTAGACAAAATCAAGTTAAAATATATTTAATTTTGCGTTTTATTGCGTATTGGATTTGAAATTTCATTTGTAATATATTATTGTTTCGATGATAAAAAATAATAAAATGTTTAAATATTAAATAAGAAAATATTATGTGTTGTTTAATATACCAAAATCCTTCTATAGATATTGGTTTCATTAATTAATATTTTTATTCTTGATATGTTTTCTGAAATAAAATATATGTTATATACATGTACATCTCGTTAAAATGCTGATTGTTGGTTGATATGTATGAAATATTATAATAAATTTGGAATACTTTTGTATTTCAAATATTAATATAATTTATTTTATAGTATACAATTTTATAGTATACAATCCAGAGTTTGTAATCCAAAATAACTTGAAATGATAAAAATAGATTAGATTCAAAAAATCATGAATTCCGTGAATCCCGATGCAAAGTACATATTATCTCGTATAATATATCTCCATTACAAATCTTTCCATTCATAAATAAAATTTAAATTCAAAATATCGAAAAATAATATCAACAACGAACCACACCTTTGTATTATTCCAATAAATATTCGTCTTCAAACAAAACTCTACTGAAGCAACAAAATTACATTTTTCTCTTCCCTCGAATATAATCGTACACCTGTAAACACTACTAAATTGGGCACAAATATTAAGAACTTAATCAAAGCAAGAAAAACAAAAAGAATCGGACCGTTCGCGACAATATTTCTTCTTAACTATTTACACAACTGTAACCCCCTGTATATAACATACGCGGGCGGGAAGGAACGGCATCAATCGACAAAGTTCCGTCGACCATGCAGATCCCAACGCTTCTCGTCATATGCTTGCTCGGCATATCGGGCTTGGTGCACGCAGGCGTCGAGGAATTCAAGGCAACCGAGGAGGTGATCGGCAAAAAGTTAGAAGTCGACCTGTTGAAAAATGTGGACACTAGCGCGAAACGAAAAGAGAACGGCGCCCCAGTGCTCGGCAAAAACATATTCAAATCCCTGGAGAAGATCAAGGCGTCGGCAGGCGCGGATGCTAAAACATCAGCCGTGGTGAAAGCGTCCGCTCTGGCTCTTGCAGAGGCCTATTTGCGAGCGTCTGCATTGTCAGCCGCCGCTTCAGCCAAAGCAGCCGCTGCCCTGAAGAATGCGCAACAAGCGCAATTAGTCGCCCAGGAGAAAGCTTTGGCCGCGTTGAAAGCTCAGTCCGAGGAAGAGGCAGCTTCTGCTCGTGCGAACGCAGCAGCCGCCGCGACACAGTCGGCAGTGGAACGCGCTCAAGCCTCCTCCAGGATAGCAATGGCCGCCCAAGATGTAGCCAGCGACTTGCAAAAACGGACCAGTACCAAGGCCGCGGCTGAAGCCGCTGCTACCCTCAGGCAATCACAGGACGCAGAACAAACCAAATGGAATGCCAAATCTGCCTTGGAAGCCTCCGCCGCTGCAGCTGCCGCAGAAACGACGACTACTGCCTCTTCGGAGGCCGCTAGCGCCGCCGCCAAAAAGGCAGCCGCGATAGCTTCTGACGCGGATGGCGCGGAAAGGTCGGCATCTACCGAGGCACAATCAGCTGCGAAGATCGAAAGTGTAGCAGCCGCCGAAGGATCCGCCAACTCGGCCTCTGAAGATTCCCACGCCGCGCAATTGGAAGCTTCTGCCGCGGCGAGAGCCAACGTGGCCGCAGCTATCGGGGATGGAGCGATTTCAGGACTTGGACAGGACGCGGGTGCCGCGGCTCAGTTGCTTGCACAGGCGAAGGCATTGGCCGAAGTTAGCTCGAAATCCGAAAATATTGAGGATAAAAAATTTTGAAGGGGGCATTTAATAGGGATTTGAGTGGAAATCTTTCTTAGACCACTGAGAATTTTGATTGGGAAGAATAGGAGTTGATTGTTTGGATATGATTAGAGAACAGGCTGAGAACGGGGCCGATTAAAATTAAAAGTAAAACATTGTCGAAACGAGTTTACCTACGTGATAATAAAGATCCACTATTTTAGCAAATATATCTTTCCTTGGTCTGATTTCATTGCGTCCTATTTTTTTTCCACGAATCCTTTTTAATCTTCAACGATTATTAATTTTTATCCTGTTGATTTTAAGATAAGTTTTTAAGATATTTTTAAAATAGTAGAGAAACTTTCATTAACAGTTGAAAATTTAAGAAACGTGTTAATAATACATATAATATTTGATGGTACTATTGATCTGTTTTTAATTCTTTTTCTATTTCTGCATACTTTTTATTCCTGCATACTTTTTATTCTTTTTATATAGAAATCGATTCAATTTCAAAATTACTGATGATTCTAATACTACTCTATATCTATCTTGATATGTAAGAATTTATAATTTCATAATATGTATGATTCATATGTATATATTGAATGATTAGATTAGTGAAAGTTACAATGAATAAGTACAATAAAAACTTGTAATAATTAGAAAGCGTATAAATATATATTAAAATTATTTCACTTTTATCATAAAAGTATAAATTTTCAACTTGTATATAATGACAATTCCTTTTTTAAAATCAATAGTCTAATTATTTAATCATTCACATTTGACTCGATCAATAAATTTTGAATTATCATTTGCAAACGAATTTGCACGAAAGTAAATAATAAGTTAAATTATAATATTTTCAAAATCAATATTTAAATAACAATTACATAATGCATGTGTTCGATATATGTACTATAAATAAATTTATTATTATCATTATTATTTCTTAAATGGTTTCTTGTAAAATTATACTGTTCTACTTTCCACTTTCGATTCTGAATATATGCAAATATAAGTACAACATTGATATTAATATTTTAATTAAATGTCAAAATAATAAAATAATCGAATGATTAAAATAATTTATATTTATAGGGAACACGATGTCTTTAAAAAATAATAGTTTTTTTTAAAATAAAAGATATAAAAGATAAAAGCAAACATGTAAAATAATTATAGATAAATATAGAAAATTACTTTTAATTAAAAGGAAGGATGGAATATTTTTAAATAATGAAATTGTATCCATTAAAGTAATCAACATGCATAACGAATATATTTAATTCTATAATAAATATTTTAATTTTTAAGATTCAAATCTCTGTGATATTTTTCAAAATTTGATTGTAACTACATAAATAACATTGATTTTAACTACATAAAATTTAACATTTTAACTACATAAATATTATCATAAATTTCTATAAAAAAAAAAAATTATCATAAATATCTATAACAATCTATGCAATTAAATTACCGATAAAATTTAAATCTCATTGTCTCATATTTCAAAATTTAGTTTCAAAACAATTTTCAAAATTATTTCCGAAATAATAAATTTTCTTTATCAAAATCATACAATCACACGAATAATAAATAATCCCTCCCCAAAGAAGAAACAAATATTATATTTCAGACTGGGATCCACCTAAATAAACCCAGATTTCCCCATATAAAAATATCGATAACAAAAAGATAAAGTTACATATTTAAATATGCAACAACATTTACAAATAATAACACCAATGTTTTCACAATTGTGAATGTCGATATAAAACGAGGAAATCCTGCTTGAATCGGCATCAATTTTGCGAAGCAGCCTCGAAGATGAAGATCCCATCCATACTCACGGTTTCCCTGCTGATCTGGGGTTTGGCAAGCGGCGCAAGCGAAGAGGTGGAGGTACGGGACAAGACCAAGACCTCGACAGCGGTGAAAAGCGAGAAAGTGGAAGTCGTTGTTCCCGCTAAGGATGAACTTAAATTAACGAGCGAGCCCATCCTTGGAAGAAGAGTGGGAACTGGAGCATCCGAGGTGGCATCTAGCAGCGGTGAAGCCATCGCGATAAGTCTTGGAGCAGGGCAGGCAGCGGCAGAGTCTCAGGCCGTGGCCGCCTCGCAATCCAAAACGGCAGCAAACGCCGCCATAAACGCAAGCGAGCTTGCCAACAAGGTTGCTGCTCTAGTTGCTGGCGCGACTGCGGCACAGGCGAGAGCGGCCGCCGCCTCCTCGGGCGCATTGAAGGCCAGCTTGGCGACCGAAGAATCGGCGGAAGAGGCCGAGGCGGCCGTGGCTGCCGCCAAGGCTGCCGCGGAAAAGGCTGAATCCCTGGCGAGAAATCTCGCGTCGGCGAGCGCTCGCGCGGCTCTCTCGTCGGAAAAAGCAAACGAATTGGCTCAAGCTGAGAGCGCGGCAGCGGCCGAAGCGCAGGCCAAAACAGCCGCCGCCGCCAAAGCAGCGGAAATCGCTCTTAAGGTCGCCGATATAGCGGTGAAAGCGGAAGCGGACGCAGCAGCTGCCGCCGTGGCAGCTGCAAAGGCAAGAGCCGTAGCAGACGCGGCCGCTGCCCGTGCTGCAGCCGTGAACGCCATCGCCAAAGCGGAAGAGGAGGCCTCGGCCCAAGCAGAGAACCCCGCCGGTGTTTTGCAAGCCGCCGCCTCCGCCGCGGCGGAATCGCGAGCCGCTGCAGCGACCGCCGCTGCGACTTCGGAGGCAGCGGCTGAAGCTGGCCCGTTAGCAGGGGAGTTGAAACCGCCGCAATGGAAACGGGTTCCTGTGAAGAAGGAAGAATGGCAAACGTCGACGAAGGAAGAATGGAAAGCGACAAATGAAGAATGGGAGCCGGTGGCGAAGTAAAAGGGCGCGAAGTGGCGAGGTCGGCAACACAGTTGCATGAAAGAAATTAGACATCTTTAAGGCAGAGTATATTGTAAAGTAGAGGATACGAGAGATAACGCGCATACGAGAGATGATTAAAAGATACATTTATTAAATACGAATCGAAATTGTACGGATGACATTATTAAACTGTTGTAGCAAATCAATACATGTTTTACTACATATGCTTCCTGGCACACATATACCTTTCTCTTTCTCTTTGTCCTTCCATTGTTGGCGATTCGTCATGTGGAAATAAAATAAATGTCAAACGTATACGTGGAACAATGTTGTTGAAATCTGATAATAATATTCTTAATTGGATGGTCGAAAATTATTTACCGAAAAGAAATGAATGTATCGGTATATTGAATTATTCGAGTATACCATTCTGTTATTAATAAATATTAATATGAATATATATATTGGTAAAACTCGTTTGTAAAAGGAACGTTCGTGGTACGAAATAATCTCTAATCTCGAAATATCACGAACTTGTTTCGAGATCGATGATTCAGAAGGTTACAGTCTCTTCACTTGGAAGAACGATGTTAGTGAGCAACTTTCCCTTTCTTCTTTACTTTCCTCCCGTGATATCACGCCATTTCACGTCGCGATCATGTTGGCAAAATTTCATTTTATTAATTAGAGATTGATAAAATATAATCACGAATAAATTCACTTGATGATTAAATTCAATAATTAAATTCGTAGCAATTGGTAAGAAAGAAATCTTACTTATAATTCGTCTTTTTTATAAATTCGATCGTAATTTTTGCACTGTATTACGTAAACGTTATTAACCATAAGATATCTAGTCTTGATTCCTTCCTACTCGTTACCTTAAATGGCCCGGAAGAAACTCTCTATGACCTATTATTATATTATATTCTTCTACGCGACAGTGGTTCTCTGACGAGAACATCGTTCCATTAATCGAATATGAGATGCTTTAATGAAACAGCGAAAGTTGTTACAAAGTTAGATTAACGAGCACAAAATATTGCCAACGAAATAGGCACATGTATATCTCAATTGCTAGACAATTACCACATTGATTATACGAGATACGCTTTTACAAGTTTTTGTAATGGCATAGTCGTGATGTGGTAAGCAGTGTTTTGTGAAAGATTCGACCGTTTCAATCTCTAAGACATCGGCAACATGCGTGGAAAAACGATAAACTAACCCAGCTTCTTTTCTTCGAATACAATGATTTCGTGACATATGATAACGAATAAATCGTTAGTTTCCTTTGTTGTTATTCTAAAATTATTACACATAAATTAAGTATGATACATATATGTATTATATATGATCACGAAAATTTGTACTGGGTGTACAAAGTATAATATCATGGAGTAAGATATAATTCTGAATAAAAAGAAAATAATAGAATGTAAAGAATAAAATTTTCTTAAATAAATCTTCGATTTTGAAAAAATTGATTCTTAAAATATATTAATAAAATTTAATGTTACAATATATGTATTCAATTTTTATATTAACAAATTAAATTTATCAAAAAATAAAATACTACTATTATAGTTCTCATCAATAACAAAGTATAATATTATATGTTATTATCAGTTCCATATAAAATAATAATGTTAAAATTCTATGATTAGGAATAATTATTTTAAAAATGTATAATATGTGTAATATATGTATAAATATGTGTAAATAAAAAGAAAGAGTATTAATAGTATAAAATTTAGAATTTAAAACTGAGTTAAATATAACTGCATAAAATGAAATTTTATTTTTAAAAAATTATTTTTTATCTTTGATTAATTTTTTATTTCATTTAACTCAACAGTATCTGTATATTTTGCAGAATATTACGAATAAAATTTACTTAGAATCTAATTTGTTATAATAAAAATAAGTTTATCACTAAAATTACTATTTAAAAATATTACTACTTAAATATTAAAAATAATACTAATATAAAACATTTGTATTTTGTTTCAAGTTTCAATTCTGGAATAGTTATTACTTGCTAAAGTAATTATTTTTAATGTATTATATACATCGTTATTTCTTCATAATATTTATACCAGTGAAAGACTTACAATTAACTAATATATCCCACGTATCTATTAAAACAATCTTTATTTTCTCATAGAGATACAAATCATATAAAACCACTAATTAAAAGAGTATAAATAATTATTTTGTAACATTTTATAATTAAATAATTACATTAATTAAATAATTAATTAAAGCAATTTTTCGATCATCGCTAATAAGCGAATAAAAATAGCGATTT